GTTTTCTTTTACTATTATATTATTATTTTTATTGTTTTTTTGTTTGTTGTTGTTTTTCTCCTCCCCAAGCCCCCCTCTCTGTTCTCTTGCAGGTTTCGTTGCTTTCTGCAATTGGTGTTTCCCACAGCTTTTCCCTGTTGTCCCCACCCTCCATCCCCCTTTCCCCCTTCTCTTGCAGGTGTTGTCCTTTCTCTGTGCTGTCTGTTTGTGCCCCCCCATCCCCGTGTCTGCCCCCCTGTCCGGCCCGGTGACAAATCAATACATAATTAAATAAATAATAAAACAGACAAAGGAGTATTTTAATACTCTCTTGTTAAAGTAAAATCTGTCTGGCACAATATGGTATCCAGGTCATTATACTCTATACCAGGCTGCTGGGCAGGACAGGTTTAAAAAAAAAAAAAAAAAAAAAAAAAATGGAAAGTTTTGCCTTCTGGCTCAGCTCCCTCCGAATCTATTGGATGGATTTTGACCTGATGATGGAACTAGATAAAAAAAGTTCAGAGATCACCAAAGTTATTATGTTATGAATGTGTGTACCAAAGTTTGTGTCAATCCATCCAATAGTTGTTGAGATATTTTACTCAAAGCCACAAGTGTCAACCTCATGGCAGCGCAAGAGGAAAAGTCATGGGATCACCAAAGTCAGTAGGATTCATCCTCTGGGCACCATGAATGTCTGTAGAAGATTTCACGGCAATCCATTTAAACATTGATGAGATATTTTAATACGGACAAAAGAAGTGGCCCGATCTGTTAGGAGTGTGGTTCTGTGTTCATGTCTTTCCTGTTTTAGGTTCTGTGTTTCTCTGTGTGGCCTTGTTTATTATTTTATTCATTAACATGTTCAGGTTTACTTAGTATCTGGTCTCATGGGTTTGGTTTTGGGTTCTGTTGTTTCTATAAGCTTCATGTTTTGGGTTTTGTAGCTAAGTTTAGTTTTTTGTTCATTCGCATGTTTAAGTTTTCTTAGTATCTGTCTTGTCTCTTATCTTAGTTCTTAGTCCTGTATTTTAGTTCAAGTTTAGTGTTTTCCCCGGTCTGTGTACTTAGTCTTGTGTCTCCATGTAGTCCTGTCTCCTGTTTGGCTCTGATTTTGCAGTCTTTCCATGTTTGTGTTTTACTTTGGTAGATCTGTCCTTGTGTGTTCTCGTGTATTGTACTTCCTCTTTTATTTTGTAATCTTCTGTGCCTGGTGTTCTTGTCTAGCTTTGCTCCCGTTGTTAGTTTAGTGTATTTTTGTCTCGATTATTAGTTTGTTACCACTGCCTTTTTTTCTGTACTTTTGTTTATGGATCTGTCTGCTTGTGTTAGTTTAGTTAGTTTACTGCCTGGTTACTTTGCTGTTTCACTCTGTCTCGTTTCACTGTGTGTCTGCTGTGCCTAACTAGCTGCTCATGTCATTCACCTGTTTCGTGTTCCCACCCTGCTCATTGAGTATTTCAATGCCTGTGTTCTGGTCAGTCTTTGTTGGTTCATTGTTGCGTATATCCTGTGTTGATCTGTTACCTGAGTTTGTTCCTGCCTCGTGTTCCCACAGAACCTCACCTTTGTTTTTTTGGACCTCTGTTTTCTCCACATACTTTGGATTCTATTTGGACTTAGCCACAGTTTGTAAGTGTGCTCTCCTTTCGTTAATAAATCATTGGACTATGCCTGCTCAGCTCTGGTGTCCTGCGTTTGGGTTCTCAACCTGCTCAATCATTACAACACATAACACGTCTGAACGAATGACAAACCAACATTGCCATACCTAGAGACATGCCACCAGCATGGTTAAAAAGGAGAACAGAAAATATAAATTTAAATACACACCCAAGAAAATTATTTTAATTGAAACAAATAAACATCTTTACAGTGTATAACACGTTATAGATGATTAGAACATACTGTAAAATATCCTTCATATAATCAGAGAATCAAAAGCCCATATCCAGAAACATTAGCTTTAGTTTTAATGACTTGGTGAACCAGATTATGAAATTACTGTAAAATACAGTGCCTTTTCTCCACACAACTTCAACCCCCCCCCACCCAAGAGCAACTCACTGCCCCACTTGAGGCTCCAAAGTTCTCATCGTCACACCCAATTAAAAGCGGATCAGTGACAGTGTGGCTCGGTGCCAATGCAAATCTCCGGCCCACGCTGGCTGGGTGTGGAGCTGCTATTCCTCTCCAAGGGGATTTCACAAAACACGCTCTGCTGCAGGTACCCCACTACACACACACACACACACACACACACTCTTTCACAACAACATGGCAAAAAGCTGTGGGAAATTTCCACACCCCCTTTACATTCAAATAGCTGCCACAGACAGAAAGTTTTCAGTTTGCCTTAATTGCATTAAGCAATCTGTCCAGTCCGCTCCACACACACACACACACACACACACACACACACACACACACACACACACACACACACATACTCCTGAAGTGTTTTCAGTTGAGAAATCACACATGTCTGTAGGTGTGCTGATGCTTGGTAAAGTGATCCCTCAGGTGAGAAAAAGGAACTGTTGCCTTAGCTGATAAATTAAGGAGTCGTTGAGAGGAAATCCCTGGGATAATTGTGGGTGTAACATAATGTGGCGGGACACACTTTCAGTTAGGCCGGGTATTAGACCATAATTAGCCAAAAGTAGCCACAAGATTGAAAGACACTTAGCAAACATAGTGGCAGATAACAAATGACTCATCTTGTGATGGTGTTGGACACACTGGTTACCACCCACTCGGGGTCAGACAGACAGAGGAGCACGGACACTTCGAATTCAAACATTTTATACTTTGGCATGATGAAGTTTGAGAAATAGGTAACTGTTTTAAAAATCTTAAATTAATGTTCATGCAGGGCGACATCAGTAAACTTCACACAGGATGCTCATGTGCACCAGATCAGTTGTTAAAAAAAATTCAGGTCAGGTCTTATGTCTTTAAGAGCAAATACAAGTTACAAGTCCTTCTAATGAAACTGTCAAAAGTCAAATGGATATCTTTCAAGTCAAATGAACATTTAAGGGACTCTTTTTAAACACTTTCCTTCCGATTACTAAGAACCAGGTCTTACAGGCTGAGAAATTATTTATCTCTCATGCTGTAATATAATCAGTCTTTGTGTTGAAATTTGTATCCAAGACTGGCTGTAAATGATTCGCCATTTATATGTTTATTCTTTGTTTCAGATTTGGTTTATTTGCTCAGCTTAATTGGTTAGCTGAGCAATTAAACAAATCTGCCTTATGTCAGCTAATGAGGAGGAAATGTTCTGAGAGACAAATGGAAGCTAATTGCACAAAAAACATGTGTCGCCTGCATACTTTGTTTTTGCCACCCTGTTATTCATTTTTGCTCTGTGAATAAATATTTACACTTTTTAAAAGCAGAAACAGGACCTGGGTCCCCACTTGTATTTGCAGATGAAATATCCTTCTCACTTCTGCCACTTTGTGATTCAGCCCGATAAGCTTTCTTTATCTTTCAATAAAAATCCTGCTCAGTGAAGCCTTAAATCAGCCACCTTCTATACAGATGTAAATTGGGCTTCATGTCAGTCTCTGATAAAAATCAGTCTGGAGCATTAGCTCACATTTGGTTTGAGCCTTGGGTTGATTTTATCACGCTGTGGTTACCATGACAGTGGCCGCCCTGATCCTTCCACATCCACGGGGCAAAGGTCGCCGGGGTCAGATGGAGGTCTGGGTCAAGCGAGCAGGTTAAACACCTTGTCAGGGATTAGCAGGCTATGAGGGAGGTGGAGGAAGTCTTCATTGGCTAATGTCTCTCTCAGCGGCTCACTGAACCACCTCCAGGACACACACACACTTACACATGCTATCTAACACACACACACACACACACACAGACACACAGACACAGACACACATCACATTTACTCTGCTTTTGTTGGCCAACATGGGCTGATACAAAGACCTGACACAGTATGCGCTCAGATAAGCCCATCCCTGTCTGTAACAAGACAGGAGTCACAGAGGAAGGAGAGCATGTCTAATTGAGACATTACTGGGACAAACACAGAGATGGAAACAAGTACAACACATTGTTGGCTTTTATGACATTCAATCACATAATTGTGTATTTGTTTTGCTTTTATATAGTAAAAGAGGAGCTATACAAAAAAAAATCACTAGCTAACTTTCCAAACAATGTGCTCAAGCCAAATATATGATATATATTTAAACAACATCAAGAACACATTTATGATGTTAATCTTATAAAAATTCAAGTTTAGTGCTAAAACAATTCCCCAATTAGCTGGACAAAACATCAACAGTTTTGATAATCGATTAATCATGCATGTCATTCATCAGGCAAAATGCCAAACAATTGCTGGTTCTCTCTTGGGCTTTTTCAAATTGTGGGACTTATTCATATTTTCTCACATTTTATGGACAAAACAAAAATAATGTAAAAGATTCTACAGCCATGCTATAAATGGCTGAATGCTAATTTTAGTATGCTAACATGCTCTCAGTGACAACATGCTGATGTTTAACACTGTTTACCATGTTCGCCATCATAGTGTAGCATGTTAGCATGCTAACGTCTGTAAAGTAAGACTAAACTACACTACTAACAAAGCCTTAATGTTTTTTCAGGTATTTGGATACAAACCAATTGGACAGAATTTTGACATGATGATGAAATTTTAGAGGGTCGTCAAAGGGTCGTCAAAGACACGGTTACAGCTCATCCTGAAGGGAACATGAACGTCTGGACCAAACTTCATGGCAATCCTTCAAATAGTTTTAGATATTTCACTCAAAACTATAAAAGTGAACTTGCTGTTGGCGCTATTGGAAAAGTCACCAAAGTCCTAGATATTTTAGTCTGGAACAAAGTGCTGGACTGATGGACCAACCAAGACAGACAAACCAAAATTGGCATCCCTAGAGCCACGATGCTAGCATGGCTAAAAATAAAAGATTAATGAATACTTTTTCTTAGATGCAGACTATTTGGTTGGGAGTGTGTACCTGTATCGGGTGAAGGACAACCTGATGAGTCTGATGGCTGGCCCATGGACAGACAGGAAGATGACCGAGGGGCGATGGCCTCCAGTTCATCAAACACATGAGACTGACTGCAGCTGAGCTCCGAGTAGTGTGATGCTGCTGTGCCACAGCGTCCTGTAACAGCAGAGTGGGTGTATTATGTTTTGATGATTAACACAATGATGATGGGGATTAGATGTAACTTTAATGATACAAGTGGGTTGTTTCATTAGGAAATAATAGGAAACAGCAAAGAGGTGGATGAATAATAAAATAACAGTGAGAACTAAATGAGCACACTAAACAAGGGGTAATTCAGGGAAGTCATATTATCATCTTTTAGGATGATTAAATTGTTTATTTTCTTACTGGGATAATTAGATTTACTTGTTTCAAGGTAAGTGATCTTGTTTTGAGTCGACAATAAAAAAAGGCTCAAAATCAGATTTTAGTAATAGCCCAAACATCTGTTAAAGAAATAGTTCAAAATTTTTGAGAAATTCGCTTTGCTGTCTTTCTGAAAAGTTAGATGAAAAGATTTATGACTCTCAGATATAAGAGTAGCAATCTTCTCATGTTACTCTGAGCAAAATAGTGAAAAAAACCTTTTTCCTCCCAAATGTCAATGCTTCAAGAGAAAACTAGATGGCTTTGCTTATTTCAAACAACAATGTGTACAATAACCTTATGCAGTCATTGTTTTTTTGCTTTGTGTGTGAAACAAGCAGTTTTCTATCAATCACATGAAATTCAAAATGTTTCTATTTGAAGTAAAAAATTGGAAAACCACAATATAAACAATAAATGTCATTTAAAAATTATCATAATTTTGTCACTATATATAAGAGGCATCAAATTGCAAATACATCCACTTGTGATTTCAGTTAATCTCAGGGATGTAGATTGTATTGATATCTAGAAGTGAATCAATAAATAATACCACAGACCGCAAAAGGAAAAGCTCTAGGAGGACATTTTCTGATGCAGCAATCAGACTATAAATCTCAGCTGGATGTTGTTGTGGGTTTAGGTAAAGCCTGGCCCTTCCAGGTTTACACTCTGACAAGTGGACAACTCCCAACACAAACCCAGGACCTCCATGATTGAAGCCCCTCAGGCATGGTATGATGGTCTGAGCACAGCGTTACAGTCAGACTTTGGGGCAAAAGTAGTCTTATCTCACTTTCAATAAACCCAGGGCAAAAAACTCTGCCCTTAAGCTCTAATTATCAAAGAACGCACTCAAAGGAATGGTAAAAACTGTCAAGATAATGACTAATTACTTATCTCCTCTCAAACCATCAAAACAAAACTGTTTCACTCTGGCTGGTTTTGAAATGAGAGGATTAGTGAGAGAAACTGTTTCACCGGTGTGTCGTTGTCCTGAAAGAGGCTTGTCGAGGCTTTTCTCACATTAGAAATGCAGAACAGCTTGGCTCGGACAAAAGGATAATATATATACAGAGGTTCTAAAAGGAAAAGGCAAACTCAGCTCCTTCGTGTCTGCCCACATGGACAAGTATAAATGTACACATGAAGCCACCCTCACACAGTCAAGTATGTGAACAACGACACGCACACACCAAAGCACTATTGTGCACTTGAGCAGCTCGGCGCTCAACTCAGAGAGACAATTGAAGGACTTGACTTGACACTTCAAAGCATATTGCTGCTGTCAAATCAGCTGTCATTCTCAGCAGACGAGGGCCATACTGAGTCAGGGTGAGTTTTTCGGGGAGGTTAAGGGTGGCTGTGTAGGGTCACTGAGTTTGATGTGACAGAGTTAGAGGCAGACAAGGCCTTCTCTGTGTGCCTATGGCCTCTTTTCCTGGTCACAGTGCCGGGCTAAAAGGCCCCGAGTGGAGAGGCCAGGCCAGGCCAGTGCTCCGGTTCATTGTTAAGGACAGTAACACTCTGGAGATGTTGCTCAAAACAGGTCAGCTCAAGGTCAGTATGGATTGTAGGGGATCTGAAAAAACATGCTGAGTGTCAAAAAGGGCCAAGCAGAATGAGGAGATTCCCATAGGCCTCTGCAGCCATGTACAATTTGTATACCACACAAGGTTTTAAGATTACCTGATTTGCTGCGCTCCAATTTTTGTCACTTTACTTACTTAAGTACTCTTCTTGTCTGTGAAAAACCTCTTCCAGTTTATAACAACAGATTTTTACATTTCAGCCATCATTCTTAGCAGAATTAATAAAATTGTCCTAATCAAGTTAGTTGTTGAAGTCTGGGAACGCAGCAAGATATTTGAAGCTTAGTGCAACTGGGAAAGAAACAAACAAAGTCTGTCTTAGAAGGGTTGCACCAAAAAAATCCTTTCCTAAAGTGATTTTCATGTGTAAGTGATGGGGGATAACATCTTCATTCCTCCTTCTGTTTAAAAATTACCTCTAATTCTTTTTAAGCTATATTATGAGGCGTCCTATAAATCAATCGGGCATCTTTTCATATGAAATAACCTCAATTTGCATTCATGGACAGTGGCTGAGCTGGAGTGACAAAATAGTGACACAAAGCAAGAATTTGGTACTAAAAAAACTATAACAATGGAAAATCCCCAGCTTGATTTGTCTAACTCAAAAGAATCACATTAACTCAAGCTTAAGCTTTAAATGAATCTATGCACGACATGTATGACTTTTGGACTGCGGATTTTGTCTTCCATTACTTTCACTGAAATTGCTCTAAGAAGTTACAGCAACTAAAAACTGCTCCAATGTACATATGGGCATGTAAGTAATAAGATAGACGGGTCATGTCACATCAGGCACAGGTGTGACTTGAACTACAATCCAGAAAGGTTAGTTTGAGTAATAGATCTAAAAATTTGAAGGCTTATTAGAAGCAAGAACACAGCACAGCTGTTTACTACCAGAAATGTGCGCTTCAACCAGCGGGTCTGAAATTTGAAACCAACACATAAGTGTCTTCAACCTATATTCTATATTCTTTCTAATGGCCAGCAGGGGGCGACTCCACTGGTTGCAAAAAGATATCAGACTGTGTAGAAGTCTATGAGAAAATGACCCTACTTCTCACATGATTTATTACCTCCTAATGAGTTTATGGTCTTAAACTACTTTCAAGTCTTCTCATTTTGTAAATAACGGTCCCATTTAGAGTAAATTAGACAATAAAGCAAGGTATGCTTTAGGGCATGGCTACCTTGGCAAACCAGTTAAGAGTAACAGTGCGAATCCCTCCCCAGCTCCACCCTCTAGTCAAAATATGGTCACTTCTGGTTCCAAAACAAACAAGGTGGCGACGGCCAAAACACCAAGCTTGAGGCTTCAAAACGGTAGTTCACAAACCAATGGCTGACGTTCCCAGACCTCACAACATATCATCATTATCATAGCCAAATGAAAAGATAAAAAAGATCCAAAATTTAATAAATAAGATTTATCCTTTAAGCTTTACGTGCTGCCACATCGAGGCCACATTGAGCTTGAATTGCCTCCATCTGCAGTGAAATAAATGAACCAGTGACACTCGCTCTGTGTCTGCCCTGAAGAGAACAGCGTGCTCCAATACAGCATAGCACCCCCCTGCAGTACAGCACCACACAGAGAACAGTAGATGTCTCTGATAGAAAAGAGAAAATCCCTACACAATTTTCACATTGTTTGCTTTCTTTCATAACGTTCCTGGAGGAGTCAGATGTCAGTGGCCCCGTCCTTTATCCCCATTGGGAACGGTAAATTAGCATCCGCAGGAAAGCTGCAGAGGTATTCTATTGTGGCGGCCCTCCTCAGTGTTCTGCCGTCAGCGAGCGGTGGTCAGTGTGGATTTATGACCATCGGCTACACGTCTCCCTCTCAGAGCCCAGAGAATAGTGAAGGCACGGGGGACCCGAGGCTGAGAGGCACAGCACACGAGGTAGGCACCCCGACTTCCATTGTTGGGGCCTCATGCCTTTGAACAGGGAATCAAACGGTACCAGCTTTTCATCAAAAGCTCTCCTTTCTACTGCTGATTTAGAGGAAAAAGAAAAGCTTTCTGCGTTATTTATTATGGGGTGGGAGGAGGTGGGTGGAAAACAGGCTGACAGCAATGGTTTCACAATGTGTTGATGGGGGCAGGAGCATCATAACGCCTCACTATGGAAGCAGGCTTTGAATTCTCTGTGTCTAGCCCAGTCCCTTTGTCTATGGATGAATGTCCAGCCATGTTTAGGACAATCAGGCTCCTAAGAAAGTGGGCAGGAGCATAGCGCCGGGCAGGGAGGAGGCTGTGAACGGTCCATATGTGGCCGGCAGAGCTAATTTCTCACCTCTGTCAGGGGAGATAGGAGGCAGGACAGGCCAATGATGAGACTCCAGCCGAGTCACTGATGAAGAAGGGGTCAGCTTTAGTCCTGACCCTGAGCAGGGAGTGGTCCACTGTGGGCTTGGGCAGGAAGACCAAGTAGTAGAGGGGAAAGCCAGGGTAATGAGGGCATGATCAGAGTCCAAGGATGGGTTGAGACCAGGATCTACAGATGCATCTTGGTGAAGGTTATCTGTTGTTTTTGCGCTTTCACACCTGCTCAGAGGTTTATCGGACTGATAAAGGACACTTGGCGTTGGGCGAGGTGAGATGGATTTGGTTTGGGCAAATAATAGTTTGTAGAGTGGCGGGGTGGTCATAGCTTTCGTGGATGATTGGCGAGGGTTGGATTCTGCAGGAGGGTAAGAAGGCAAAGGTGACTGCAACACTGGACAAGGCTGGAGCCGCGAGAAACCTTCTGGGTCTGAATCCAGGATATCTGCTGCAAAATGACAAAGTTAGTAGCTTCATTTAACACAGAATCCTCCACCTTCTCCAAGGAACTTCTTTAAGAATGTAATTTTAAATTGTCAAACCCACAGTTACGATTATGAAACTCATGTAAAATCAGATAGAAATTACCCTAATGTTAAAGTTCCTGAAATGTTATTATCTAAATTAGACTCTTATTATGAATGAAAACCTCCTTATCTTTCACAGTTAGAACCATACCGGTTAAAACACACAAAAAATGCTCTTAATGCCGTTCTCACTGGTTTGAACTGGGCAGGGCGGTGCTGCGAAAAGGTGATGTCACATATTTCGATGACTATTGGATGCTTGTTTGCTTATGTTGCCAGGGAGATGTCACTGTCAATTAAATATGATCAAACCACACCTACCTGATGAAGTACATTAGCTGAGGCTCCTAATAAATAAATAATTACATAATAATGCCCAAACTTGAACTCTGATTGTTTATAACACACTATAATATAGTTGTATTCAGCTGTAAGGACATTTTAAGTGTTTTTTACTAATTAAAACCTATAAAGATCTTCTCTTATATTATTACAGCTGTGTATTACTATACTTATGTCATTCATTATCTGTTTATACACCAGCCTCCACTTACAGGTGCCCATGGGAGGAGTTAACTCTGCTGTTAAAGTAATGAGTTGCATTGTTAAGTGGACACAGCTAAATATCTACATATTATTGTCTGAAAAATAAAGGAGGATTAAGCTCATGTTACTACAATTCAATCACAATTAATAAATCAACATCTTGATTTACAAAGTGTGAAGAATGTTCTCCCTATGCATCCATCTGACTTGCTGAATAACTTCACCATTTCTCAAGCAATAATGGCAAAATTCTGTGGTCCTCGCTTCTCAAATGTGAAGGTTTCTCTCTCTGATTTCATGTCATTAATATTTTATATCATTAAATAAACAATGATGTAACTATTTCACTGCTTATTGACATTTTATATTGGACAATCAATCAAAAAAAAACAATAATCATTAGTTTTAACCCTTACATGAAGTAGGATTCAGCTAATACTAATTCCACTGTTATAGTAGAAGTTTAGCAGAGGTGTTACCAGACAGGACACTGCTCCTGCCACTGGCGAGGTCAGTGCTGCGGCTGAACATGCTGGAAGGTGGACGACTTAAATCTGAGAGAGACCCGTGTGAGATTGTGGAGGCCGGCGTCGGTGAGCGCTCTGGTCCAGCAGGGCTGTGACGCAGCTTCCAGTTGGACTCTGTGATTGACTGCTGTGGCTCCCTCTCCTGAACTTCATCCGTCTCCTCTGGAGTAGGATGAAGGCTGGAGGGAGATGCTGGCACATTGTTCGGTTTGCTTTGGTGTCCACCAGAGTTGGGGTGAAGGGCGTGTTGGTGGGGAGGTGTTGGATCAATGGTGGATGATGGTGGAGTAGCAGGGAGTGGAAGACAGGGCACAACAATGGCAGAGCGCCTTCCTGTGATTAAACGCTCATTCTGCACTCCGTTTCTTCTTCTGTCTGGATTGAGATGGAAGTAACCTTTAAGAAAGACAAAGACAAAACATTTCCTTAAAGATCCACAGTATTTCATTTAAAGTGCTTCTCCAAAACTGACTTTAACTATTGGTTTTAGCTAAATTATCCAAGAACAGATTTTGGTGTTTGACCCCTAAGCCTTATAAAAGCCACTTTTTAAGATTTTCAAAGTACAACTTGGTGTAGATAATTTTTTTAAACTCCCCAAAGTCTGCATGTCACATTCTCCTTCTCGCTTTGCAAACATTTGTTTACCTGCTGGGTGGGTCGGCCTGCTAACAAAGGCAGCGAGAAATCGCCCCGCTGGAGCAGCTGCCTTCCAAACTCAATATTCGCAATAGTAATCTGACCTGAGGGCAGGGGAGCTTGCATCTGTGCATCGTTCTTATAAACTGGAGATGGCAGAATATCATGCAGTTACAGGTGTCCTAAAAACACAAGTGCTTGAGGAATGTCACTGGCATTGATGCCAATGATACTAGGCTGGGTTATTATTTTTTATTTGACTGGGCGGGTAAAAAATTAACAGCTTTTGTAGTTTACGTGTTGCAACATTCGGGTGGTTTTCCCCAACAAAATGTTAGGTCATATTCATCCTTTTAGCTGTTCATCTAAGTGAAGCCTTTAAACATCTACAAGACCTGGTTGCCTAGTTATACTAATAAAACAGAAGACATATTTTATATGAGAGATATATTTTTGAGTTGGATGAATGACAAACCTCAATGTAATTGGGTGAAATCTGGCAAAACTGGTCATTGGATTTCTAATAGTCACTCAGAAAGCGCTGCTGCAAATTATTATTTTCATTGTTGAATGAATTTTGTTATTTTTTAGTTATTTGTTAATTTTTTTAGTGTCTAAAGTGTAAGAAATAGTAAAAATTGGCCATAATCATTTCCCAAGCAACCAATTTAAATGTGTTTTTTTGTCAGAGCATATTATATTAGATATATATATATATATATATATATATATATATATATTAGATAAGATATTCACATGCAAACAAGTGAATTTGGAGCTTGATTAATCATTTAGGCACTACAGAGAGTGCGTAGCTCACAGCTCTAAACTCTAAAGCACTTATAGCCCTGCTTTATACATCCTTCTCTCTTCCTACCACACTAATTATCTCCCCTGTTCAACTCTTCTTTCTCCTGAACATTTCCTTTCATCTTCCACAAACATCAACTCCATCCAGCGCCGCCCATTTCCCTTTCGTCTTGTCCATTCTTCCCCATTTGCCTTTGCACACCCCTTCCTTTCTCTGTCCTCCAATTTTTTTGTTGACCACTGAGAGGGTGTGTGTGTGTGTGTGTGTGTGTGTGTGTGCGTGTGAAAGAGGTGGGGTGGGGGGTGGGGTGGACGGTGTCAGACAATCTGCTCTTGTTTCCTGGGGGTCTGCCGCCGAGAGGAGTCAGCACAGGGGATAAAGAAAACGCATTGGAGAGCACATTTCTGCACTGCCTCCTCTTACAATGCCTTGCAATTGCCATCTGTTACAGACACACACACACACACACACACACACACACACACACACACACACACACACACACACAGTGTACATGAATTGGTGCATATGTGTGTGTGTGTGTGCTGATGTGCATATGAATGACATGTGTCAGAGCGCAAAGCCACAGCATAGGGTGCAGCACGTTTCTTCAGGGAGCAGGGTTAAGGGCGATTGTGAGGGAGCCGACCACCATATGGTAGAATAATTAGTATTAGACCCCGGTGCTGAGAAATTCCCCCTCCTCTGTTATACACACACAGTCATACACACACACACACACACACACACACACAGACGAACATGGTGAAAGCAGTGCCCTGCTGTGGAGCTGAGGTGTGTGCTGGGAAAAATGCCTTCACATCAGAGGCTGGGCTCTGAAAGGAGCGGCAGGTCTCCTAGCCCCGGGCCTTTCCAGGAGGGCGGCGCTGTAGGCACTTCCTCGCCAGAGAGGAGATTTACACTTAACCAAACACAACCACAGAGAGAGATTAAGAGCTAACGACGAGCCTGGTGGCCTCTACCTTCACTCCTCCAGGAGAGGAATAAAAGGCGAGAAAAAATTGTTAATGAGCAGAGATGTGGAGTCAAAGGATCCGTGACCTCCTCCCGTTGTGGCTGTGATGGTGTGAAAGCACCAGGTGTTTTGTTGATAAACCTCACCCTCCAGAGTTTGTGTCTTTGGTACTGCAAGAGTGTGGGTGTTCGGTGTCTTTCGCTGAGATGGAGGCTGTGGTCCGGACTTGGAGCTCAAGAAACAAGGAGGCCTGAGGTCCTCAGGACGAGCTTTCATGTGAGACAAGAACCGTGGACACAATAAGGGACGATGATTTGGGTGATCGTGGGCCTGGAAGAGAAGAAAAAGAGCAAAACTCTCAGTGCAAAATAAAGTTGGAGAAATAAATTATTTACATTATGTTTTTATATCAAATACCCTTAATCCTTTTAAATGACTTAAAACAAATACAATGTGAAAAACAAAAATTATAAAAACATAAGCAAAAATAATTCTCTTATTAAAATGAAATAAATATACAATAAATGACTAAACAAGTAAAAAAAATCAATAAATATAAAAACTAATTAAAACAAAAAAGTAAAATATAATGACCAAGCTGCATGAATCATTAGAAAATCAATAAATAATGAAAAACACATATAACAGGTATATTTCAATGTGATATAAAATAAATATTTTTTAACAAATTACAACAAAGAAGATATCAATAAATCCAAAAACTAATATTGTGCAAAATAAAGTTGGGGAACTCAGCTATTTAAAATGTTTTGACATTGAAAACTTTGATAAAGAATAAAATTGATTGTATTTTTAGAACTTTTTAAAAAAAAAGTAAATAAAGACAGAAAAAGTAACTTGCTTTTATTTATTTCTGTTCTAAGTAAATATATCCTATGTTTCAATCAATATACAAAAGAAAAGTCTGGGAAACATGTGTCCCATGCTTCCACAAAAGGATGAATGAATGAGAAATGTGGAGGAGAATTCAAATGATGAACGGTATCACTGCTGCCCCCTTGTGGTAGGGATCACACCTCTCTACCTCTGCACAACTCCAACTTTCTCTTCTTACACCCGCAACCTTCCTCCTTCTTAAAAGGGAGGCAGAAAGGAAGCAGAATCTCAATTATCTCAAGGGTGATAAAACTCTTTAGAGTACACTGTCGGGACACAAGAGATAAAAGCAGGCAGGATGGTCAATATTGGAAATGTGGAGGGAGCGACGGCTGCCTGCAGCACGCGAACCAGTGAAAACCAGCCCAGCGTACAGCCGTGGTGCCAGTGACTCATTCAATGGCCTTTAGAAAGCAAACAACTGTACTAAATAACACACAGACGCAGGGCTTTATTTGACTTGGATTTAAGCTTCATGTAAAACAAAGTTCAGCTCCTCACCCTTTTAACACACAATAAAAACAAACAGAATGTGCACAGATATAACATCTGTCTGAATACAATGATGAACCAGGAGACCTTCAGACAGACAGAGAAAGGGGGTGGGGTGTGGTAGTGGAGTAGTGGAGAAGGTGGGGTCACTGTCTGTGACTCACACAGGGAGGATCAGCTTTTAAATCCCTGCACCATCTCCACTGATTCCCTTCTCTCAGATCTGGAGGCTTTAAAGATTTGCATTCTTGTGATTTAAAGAGGGAGAAGTGAGGTAGAAAAAGCAGAACAAGAGCCGGTGATGGGGGCCTTTCTCCTGCTCGCTCCTCTTCCTCCCCTATGGCCTCCTCATTACCTGTCACTCCGGCCCGTCAAAAGGCTGAGGAGGGCTTTGTGAGGATAGACTCGGCTGGTGTCGTCAAACCTGTGCCCTTCTGCAGAACAGGTCTGGGCAAGAAATGTTTAACACAGGTCACACAGAAGCTCTTTTAATGCATACATGCAAACACAATCATACATGGAGTACAGGACAAAGCTGTGTGCCCTTTACAAACACTGATGTTACTTATAGTCACACTGGTGAGTTTTCAGTGCAAAATCCCCCCGTGAAGAGCAATTTATACTCAAAATATTACTTATTATTAGCTTTTTCTTTAATAACCCACAGATATTGATGATTGCTTTCCTGCATTTTTTACCATCTGTATTTCATTTAGTTTTATTTTTTAAATTGTAATCTGTTTCAATCTATCTGTTTTCCTATTTTATTGTGTTTGTACCTGTCATTATAATAAATTTCTTGCCTTATGTCAAGCACTTTGAATTGCCTCTGTGTTTGAAAGATAATATACAAATGAACTTCCTTGGTCTTGCTTATCTTCACACATCTAGATCAATAAGTTGGCCCTAATTCAATAATATTTAATTGACTCTCAGCTGAGCAGTATCACAATGCCGTGGTCATACTGAGACAACAGAAATGTGTCTTGTAAATAAAAAAAATAAGTTATACAGGTTTTTATTTTCCAGGTGTGAAGCTCATAGTTCATCATCAATTTGATTATATGACACGTCACTTTCCATATGGTGAAATATAGTGATATCAGAAAAATATTCTTATTAAAGGATAATTTAGTTTATTACAACTGGGGTCTTAAGATTTTAAGTTCTACATGAGCAAGTCTGTGAAATGGCAAACTCCATCTGCTGATGAAGATTGTGTGATTTGACTGAAAGCTTCCTAACAGCGTCTAGTGGACCCATTTGTGATGTTGTGATGATTTGAGCGAGAAAGGAACGCAAGTTGTAAACACACCCACTCGGTTTGCCAAACAAAATCACCCATCTGTCGACTGCAGAAATCCATATACATTTAATGCCAGACTTCCAGGTTCAACTTTAACTTTCTTACTTACCGTAGTTGTGCAAGCACAGTTTTTCATTGCTATCAGGAATAATTACTGACATTTCAGGTGTTCTCATGTTCGGTTTTACCTACAAATAAAGTTCTTAATCTCACTTGTGCACTTCTTGGAATGATCAGAGAAACCTGATGTCTATTTATCTTTTCTTATTTGTTTGACAAGCATAATTATCTTCTGCTTAAAAACTCAAAATAATGGAAATATTTGAATCAAAAGAAAAGGTTTGTGTATGGAAGCTAATAATGGCCATAATGAATAAACTTTCTATATAGGTTCTTTTTTGTTAGAATTCACAAATTCAGATCTTTGCGCCTCTTTCCAGACATTAAAAACTGAATACTAAAGATGGATAAAATGTAGAGAGTTGTTTACTGTTTATTGATCCTTCAGCTTTAATCAAATATTTAAGTCAAAAAAGTACAATTAGTCAAAATTACCATTCAAATGACTCTGGTACTCTAATCATTACTGGAAAAGGGATTAACATTAATGTAGCATGTCACAGAGGAAGGCATTTCCTTCAGAGACAGTAGGTAATACTGCAGACCCATAACACTCGTGTGGGCTCCTTCGGGCCCCTGCAGGCCCCCAGGAAACAGGCTGACCTCCTGGCGTCAGGCAACCCACACGCTGTCCTCACACAGCCAGAACTGGTTAATGTCATTACGGGCCTGTTTGTGGTCAACAGCTCCCTGATTGAGATGTACAAGTAGTGCTGCTCGATGAATGTAGGAAGTTAGTCAGAGTCCCAGATGGCCTGCAGAGGACAGACTTGCGTGTGCTCCTTCACCCCCCCTCACCTCTAAACACACACATACACACAAGCATACATAAGCAGTGATACAGACACACATGAACACACACATACTTAATTACACTGCCTCTGAGTGAACCCTCTGACAGGCGGACGACTACGAGCAAAGACAGAAGTGTGTCTATGTCCCAGTGTCTGCCGGAACAGAGAATTCTTCACAGAGCTGATGCACAAGAAAGCCAGGCTTAGGCCCTAACAAGGTTAAACCCCTGAAAAAGAGTGACTTTTTAAATCATGGAGATTTGTGTTTCTGCGGGGTGTAATTAGCTTTGCTGCGGGGGAGGAGGGAGGGTGGATGAAGGGTCGGGATGCTGGCGAGGGGGCTGGCAAGAGGCGAAGCGGGGGACGACGACAGTGGGGCGCATTGTGGAGTCCGGCGGATTCAGGGGAGTAAATCTGATTATCAGCTCGTGTCAGAAGCCAGGCTCAGATACAGCTTAGCATTCAGAGCAACTTTCTACTTTCAATGGTTAGACAATGACCCCCCTTTAAAGGCCCTCACAACACCAGAGGGCCAGGCAACTCTTTCCTCTAAAGCTTCAACATCCTGAAACAACGTAAGACAGCAAAGCACAGGATGACAGGCCTACGAATACAGCAACATGCAGTGGTGGAAGAAGTATTCAAACACTTTATTTAGCTGATTTAACACATCAAAATCTGTTTACAGGTGTTGGGGTAATGTCACTTGAGTCAGTGTCAGGTTGGGGCTGAAGACTACAAGTTGACAATTAAAAAAAATCTGTGTGTGTGTGTGTAGAAGAAGTGAGACCTCTGTAGCCCTTATCTCTGCTTGAGGCGAGAGGCTACATTTAGCAGCTACTAGCATAACACACCTGAATGTCTGACTGAAATGTCAGAAGTCGAGTTGCACTTTGGGGAATGTATTTGCCAGGTTTTGACAAGGAAGAAGAACACATAAAATAAAAAAGGTGATACCTCCTGTTCTCTTGCATCCATTTTTATATATTAAAACTGTCCATCTTGAGTCCGACAATAACGTAGAAGCGCAATGCTAAATCGGTGGAGTACTCTTTTAAAGGACTATGCCGGTGGTGGTGCATGTTTTAGCTCACTACAAATCACTTATACTTCCCACCACAGACAATAATCTAAATTTTTAACATATTTTGTATCACCCAAGGCAGCCATTGGTCATTAATTCCCATACATTATGGAGGAACTTGCTTGAGTTGTGTTATCCATTCCTCTGTTTTTGTCATAATTACACTATTGTGAGGTAACGCATTGCAGAATTTTCAAATCATTCTTTGCCTTAAATGTTTATTGTGTTGGATTACACGACTCAGGTAAGTGTTTGTTACTTGATTTTCATACCATACTGTTGTGAATGGAAACAGTTTTAATTTGCATTTTATTGCATGACATAAATATTTGAAATTAATATTTGGTAGAGAAACCTTTGTTTGCAATTACAGAGATCATGCTGTAGTTCTTGACCAGGTTTGCACACACACTGCAGCAGGGATTTTGGACTACTCCTTCATACAGACCTTCTCCAGATCCTTCAGGTTTCGGGGCTGTCGCTGGGCAATACAGACTTTCAGCTCCCTTCAAAGATTTTCTATTGGGTTCAGGTCTGGAGACTGGCTAGACCAGTCCAGGACCTTGAGATGCTTCTTACGGAGCCACTCCTTAGTTGCCCTGGCTGTGTGTTTCAGACCGTTGTCATGCTGGAAGACACAGCCTCGACGCATCTTCAATGCTCTTACTGAGGGAAGGAGGTTGTGGGCCAAGATCTCGCGATACATGGCCCCATCTGTCCTCCCCTCAATACGGTGCAGTCGTCCTGTCCCCATTGCAGAACAGCTTCCCCAAAGAATGATGTTTCAACCTCCATGCTTCACGTTTGGGATGGTGTGCTTGGGGTTGTACTCATCCCTTCTTCTTCCTCCAAACACGGCGAGTGGAGTTTAGACCATAAAGCTCTATTTTTGTCTCATCAGACCACATGACCTTCTCCCATTCCTCCTCTGGATCATCCAGATGGTTATTGGCAAACTTCAGACGGGTCTGGCTTCAGACATGCGCTGGCTTGAGCAGGGGGACCTTGCGTGAGCTGCAGGATTTTAATCCATGATGGCGTAGTGTGTTACTAATAGTTTTCTTTGAGACTATGGTCCCAGTTCTCTTCAGGTCATTGACCAGGTCCTGCCGTGTAGTTCTGGGCTGATCTCTCACCTTCGTCATGATCATTGATGCCCCACGAAGTGAGATCTTGCATGGAGGCCCAGAAAAAAGGGACATGGACCGTCATCTTGAACTTCTTCCATTTTTCCAATTGCATCAACAGTTGTTGCCTTCTCACCAAGCTGCTTGCCTACTGTCCTGTAGCCCATCCCAACCTTGTGCAGGTCTACGATTTTATCCCTGATGTCCTTACACAGCTCTCTGGTCTTGGCCATTGTGGAGGTTGGAGTCTGTTTGATTGAGTGTGTGGACAGGTGTCTTTTATACAGGTAACGAGTTCAAACAGGTGCAGTTAATACAGGTAATGCGTGGAGAACAGGAGGGCTTCTTAAAGAAGAACTAACAGGTCTGTGAGAGCCGGAATTCTTACTGGTTGGTAGGTGATCAAATACTTATGTCATACAATAAAATGCAAATTAATTATTTAAAAATCATACAATGTGATTTTCTGGATTTTTGTTTTAGATTCCGTCTCTCACAGTTGAAGTGTACCTATGATAAAAATTATAGACATGCTTTGTAAGTAGGAAAACCTGCAAAATCAGCAGTGTATCAAATACTTGTTCTCCCCACTGTATGTTTTGGATCTATAAAAAATAATTATATTTCATAAGCTGTTTGTATATTTTCCCCTCCACTCAAAACATGAGTATTGCTTGTTGTTACTTCACTCGGATGTCTGAGGTTCGTTGTGCAGAATGATGTATGTGCATAGTTTGACACCAGATGGCTGTTTTCACATTCATCTGCTAAAGAGGGAAAGTTTCTCTTAAATCTGACATTAAAATGTGGTGTATGAGCATGATGACATAACATCACAACTAGTTTGAAAGCCAGTCATGGTCCAGTATGCAATTTACATAACTCCAACTGTGTGGAAAATTTAAACCTCCAGTGCACATACACTGAGAATAAACTTTACAGTGATGTAGGCATATTGTGTCAACATTCATAGATTCTGGATTTTTTTTAATGAGGGAGAAGGAGTAGATGTAATTTTAAGAATTTATAATCTTGTAATTGAACTTCTTAGTGGGAAAACAATATCAGATACAAATTATTATTCAAAGGAGAATATTTGCATGTGTCTAAAGCTGTCAATAAAATATAGTGGAAGTATAAATAGGCAAAAAAGAACCTTAAATTTGTATCATTAAATGTGCTGTGTTACTTTTCACCACTGACTACAATACATGATTTAAAAACAAGACCACACTTAAACCTGTGCAAAAGTGTGACTAGAAAGTGTGGGCCGTGATTAGGCTTTTCTCTTTTCGCTCACTATTGAAGAAAACTACAAGTCGGCTACTGAAACCATAAAAACCTGGGTTGAACTTACACACATATATTGAACTCTGCAGCTCTGTCGTCTTGTTTGGGCACCTGTGCATTCTGACCTGGACTGTCTCATTGCAGCTCGTGTCCCGGGTGACAGTACCGGAGCTCTGACGCCTATATAAAGCAGACTGCTAGGTCAACAACTGTGTGTCTGTTTAGACAGGGATACGCTTGTTGTAAAAGTTGTGTTGCTGTATGACAGGAGCACTTTTTACCATCACAATACCCTTGTGATTTATAAGATATAGCAGGAGCAGTGGCGAGATAGAGAACGGCAGAGGGTGATGCCAGGCCTGATAAACTTGCTGAATGCAGAAGTGCTGAAGGCAGTTGAGGATGTAAATGAGGCTGTAAGGACCAGCGAGCGTCTTTGTCTGTCGACTTTACTTGTTTGTTTAACCAGAGGCCAAGACAGGAAGCCAGCCCACACAACTCTGCTGTCCCCATGGAAACCCCACTGTTAATTGTGGCACATCCACTCACAGACTCTTTTCAGCAAAGGGGAGAGGTGGAGACTTTTGAGTGTTGGAGGAGAGAAAGAAGAGTGTGTGTTTCTTTGTACTTGTTAGAGGCGAGGCACAAATAGTGGGATTTGGTTATATTTTTTAAAAGCTTTACTGATTTTGAACTTATATATGAAATTTCAGTATCCCATCAGTAACTGTCATTTTAAGTTGGTTTCAGGACTGCTGCTTTATCTCTGTTGTTTTTTATTATAAATTGAATGTCTTTGGGTTTTGGACTGTTGGTCGACTACACTTTCATCACCTCACCTTGGACTCCTAGAAACTGTGATGGGCATTTTTAACTATTGTCTGAAATTTCTAATCGTGAATTGTAAAAGTATCTAACAGACATATCAATAATGAAAAGAAGAATAGGTTACCACCCTACAAATAGTAAATCTGTATTTTTATTGCAACCACTCAAAGAGCTTTTAAGCTATGTCAAAGTCCCCCGTTCACACAGATTCATACGCCAAAAGCTTAGATGCCAACTGCACATCAGAACAGAAATAACATTCATACACTTATGACACTTTGGGGTCCACTTCAACATGCAGACTGGAGGAACCAGGGATCAAACTGCCAACTTTCGGTTGTACGCTTGCCCGCTCTATCCCTTGAGCCACTGCCGCTGCCCCAAGAGCCTCCTACAACAGCTCTCAAACGTTGAATATATCGATCCACAAAATGAGAATCGATGCACCTCCAGCAAGAATCACTGATTTGTTCTTATACGGCACGATTGGCCCAGACCTGTCATACATGTGCATGTACAGAGACTGGAAAATTTTATTTTAAATACCTGGAGTTTAAATATGTTACTGAAAGCCACTAAAATCTAAATAATATAAAATAAAACCTACAGTTCAGGAGTTACTGTATAATATCAATCAATCAACATTTATTTATATAGCACTTTACCAATCCATCGCAGAATAAGTTTTAAGTTTTGATTTAAAATGAACAAAATCCATTACAGTGCGAACGTCAGGGGGGACCGTTGATCCAAAGACCGCAACAGCCGATTTTGCCCACCCAAAGTTAAAAGCTCAGACAAATACGCCTTCTCTAGATTGTGCCTATTAAGAAAAGTCTTTACTTTAGCCAGGAGACGAATTTGGAAGAAGCTCGTTCTGACAACATTGCTAATCTGCTTGTCAAATTTCAAGCTGCAATGGAATATCACACCCAAATGTTTGACAGTTTGCTTGGCGCATGAAGTCAAAACTCCCAGACTTAAAGCTGGATTGTTTGACATGCATTTAGTACTGAAGACAATACACTCAGTTTTATCTTCATTCAGATTAAGAAAGTTCCGAGAGCCACAACTTAATAGCATTTATGCCATTAAGCAGGCAGTTTAGTGCAACACTGTCATTAGGTTTCATAGGCGGATAAATGTGCAGGTCATCTGCATAACAATGAAATAACAGGTTGTGCTTGTCTATTAGCCCCTAACGGCAACATATATAAAGAGAACAGGATGGGGGCAAGAATTGACGGTGTTCATGCTAATGATCAATTATGCTAATGATCAATTATCATTTTATCAAATTATGATTTTTTCAGGATATATTAGCAATTTATGAGAAGTTTGAGCAGTTACAAGGGTTTGCTAAATCCAACTTTGAACACCGGTATGAACTTCACATACTATAAAGCACTCACGGTGTAGTGGCAGAGTCCTCTATCCCACAAGATGGCTTTGCTGACAAAAGACACATACATGGGTCTCTGCAAAGAAAGGAGAGAGAGAAAAGAAGCCATATAAATATAAAAACTATTAAAAAAAAGAGGGAACACGTACGTGTTCAAATTTAAAAACAGATTTATCAGAGCCAGATTGAGATTGATCAATCAAAAGAGTTGAGAGATTAACTGCTTTCAGTAGCTCAATCTCCTGCTACGTGGGACCCCAGGCTGAGAACAATGACTGAAGCCTGGCAAAACAAATATAGATCTAACAGTGAGAGGGCTCTCCAGAGACATTTAACCCCCCACCAGTGCATTAATAACCCCTCTGTCTTGATTATTGAGCTGCTGTGAAACACTTCCAGTGGTTTGAGCTACTACAGCAAAAGGCTCAATGATGGAGTCTGGTCTCCCACGCAGCCACTTTCCAACATCTGCTCAGTTTACAAAACGTCTGTTCCTTATCTCTTTCCCCTTTCTCTTTAACATGTAGCGTCCTCAGGAAGAGTATGGTGGTTTTATGGTAACGGTGACCCATGGAGCAGGAGGGCACTATGTTAACTCATCAATCACTGCAGCCACATCACCAGCCAATGCCCAGCAGTCAGCAGAGCAGCTCATCCATCTCTCTTTGCAGCTCCTGGCAGCTCCCAGAAGCACAGAGTCAGCTTCAGAGTCGATCCACTCCAGGGAGCAAGAGAGCAGATCCTCCCAGGACTCACCCTTCATTCATGGGCTGTAACCCCAGTCAGAGTGGGTGACAGGGGGCAAGAGGGGCTTGCAGGGTGGTAGGACAATGGAGGCTGATGTGTTCATACATGTGTGTGTTGCACTTTCCTTTGGAGTGCATTGGTGTGGAGCTCTTTGCCAGATTCAGCCAGACTCTCAAGTCAGACCCATTCAGTGCCACTAAGGGAGGCTAGAGGGCAGCGTAGGTCTGGCCATCTCATCGTCTTTGTCTATTGGCATCATTTAGACCATACCTGTTGTATTTAACAAAGCACATCACGTACGATTATGTACATTATGCCAGAAATACCTCGCAAGCCCTCCATCCTTAACTGAAGCCTTAATTGCAGCCAAATAATTTGCTGAAGGGGAACCAGTGAATTGTGGCCCAGTGACCTTCTTGTTACTAATTATATGGTGAATGTGAAATCAAGTAAATTTTGAGACACAAGGATGAAGTGGCTGGGGGTTGGACTGTGATGAACAATGTGGAGAAATTATGTGAACTGAAACAGAAAATAAGCAAACGGAAAGAGGCAATTCAAATGAATAAGGAAATGTGTAAGAAAAAATTAATTAATTAATTAATTAATTAATTTCATGTGTCTATGAAAACCAGTTGAAAATAGATAAGACTATAGAAGCGGTTCTATGGGTCAAGAGAGAGAAAAACATTAGGTTTCTGAATTCTTAACCAACGCTTTGAAACTATTATGTTATAACTTATAGGAACTGCAACTCTATACCAAAAATATGACCAATTGACTGTTCACTAACCCCTTTGGGTTTCTCCATAAGTTGAAGCGGTGCTATCATAAGTTGTAAACGTTAGCATATCCGGATAATTTGCTTACTACCTACATGATTCAGAATTACTTCCAAGACCAGGAGAATATTATTATCTATGTTTTGGGGTGTTACAGGGTACATAAAGATAAAAACTTGTTCATGATAGTACATCCACTGTATAGTATTTCTCTACTGTGTGGAACCTGGTACTTGATGCTATCACAGTTTAGGCACTATAGTTAACGATAGTGGCTCTGTTTTGCTCTATCAGATTTGGGGAAGTTTACAGTCAGGCAAACCCAACCAAACCCAATAGCATTAGTTGTCATCCTGTCCTTCTCTTGCTACATGGAAACAGTTACTGAAATTTAATTCAAAATATGAACAATAAAGCAAAAAATCTAACCTCTTGCTTGCTTGTTCAACAATGTAAGGTACTTTTTGCCCATGTAAGGGTTTTTGCCCATTTTTCCTTAGTTTACTAATAATAGTATACAATTATATATATACTATAATAGGAATAACTAGCCCAGCAAGAAGAAATGCTTTTTCTTTGTATGTCCTTTAAAGGAATCATTTACTGGTGAATATTCTGATTCTTTTTTGCCTGGGACAGCTTTCAGTCTTAAGCACAAAAGCATGTATGTAGCCATTAAGTGCACTCATTTTAAAGCGAGTAGATTGGAAATATCAACAAGTCAGCCGCAGACAGCATTTTCAACCAACTCATGGAGCTAACTATAACTTAGCTAGCTAGCCACATCTGACAAAATGTACCAGTCGCAAGTTAGAAATTTGTTTTTAAAAAACGGTGGGGTTTTCAAGTTATTATTATAAACTGTGGCCGCCCTGTGAGAATGGAAAGCCTGACAGACGCAACTGTAACTAATGGGGCAGGCCTGCAAATAGATTATGAAACTAGCTATTTGACAAAACAGTATCACCATGAAGTCCATTTAGTATTTGATCGTATCACACAATCGTCATCAGTAGATGGAGTTTGCACAATTGCAGTTTAATTTAGTACATTTAAATTAAACAATTTTCTAAGCACACTTTCCTTGTGGGAGCATTTTCCAATGAAATTTCTTATATTTCTACAGATCCATGACAACTGGGCAAACTCCACCTGCTAATGAAGATCATAAGTTCCAGTATAGCTGCTAAGCTGGAACTCAATATCAATAGCTATGGTATGATTAATCTATTAATTTGATGACAATAAAGAACAAAATTTCCTATAAGAATCCAAATGACATTAATTTGTTAACCAATGCCAAAAACAAAGCTAATATTCTATTAGCTCAAACAAAAATGGCCTCTTTCTGTCTTTGATGTCATCATTTGACACACAAATACAACACATAATCCCATATAGGGTTTGTCTAAAGTGATTGCTGCTCCTCTTTTCCTTGTCCAATTCAGATGATGAGATTAGGGAGATTCCTAGCAGATGGGATTTCCACTGTGCATGTGTCGATAGCTTTCCCACACAAACTCCACCTCAAGGTACTTCCTGTCAGATCCATTGAGCACAAAACGGCGTGGGCTGGCAAAACACAAGTAGACAGGAAGTGCTGTGGTGCCGGTCTGAGCCAGTAGGGGGAAATATGCTCAAATATGGTCAGTCTTATCAATAATGAGTAGGTGGAAAGGGCTAGATCAAATTACCAATTTAGAGCTAATCACCAAAGTGGTGGCTGGTCTTTGCTTTATCCCCTCTCCCACTCTGCTTTCTCCTCTCTCTAGTGATTCCTGCCGCCATCTGTTTGTCTTTCTCAGGGGAGCCCTTCCTTCTCCTGAGCACTGCACTGGATGTTTTATTAATTCCGTTTCACCTGATTACACCCTGTCTGTGAGTCAGGGCACATTAATAGCCATTTAATCAACGTTTAATTAAGGGAGCAGGCATTGAACAGAGATCCACAGATCAGAGCTGCATCCTGGTGAGGTCAGCATCAAGGACAGACTAACACGCATACGGTATTATATTGACAAATTCGGGTCGTATGCAGGAATAAACAAGCTGCCATTACTGCAGTGGTACCTCACTTGTAAACCTGTGTATAACACAGTATGCACACAGTAGGATTTTACTTTTAAAGCACTTAAATGTTAAAATATAGTCATCAAATGCTATTAAAATAAGATTAATCTTCAGTTTTAAGAGATGGCTAGACGTCTTTAATATTTAGTGCTATTAACAACTACAACTTTGAAAATGGAAGCCAAAATCCATAAGCCCTACCCCATGAAAGTGTTTAAAACCTGCAATAATAAAATTTTGTCGCAACATTTGCATTCCTTTCAAGTCTTTTTTCTGACAACTTGACATATGTTTGTACATTTTCACTCTTTTTTTAGCTCTGTTTTTGGTCTCTATCAACTACTGAGGGAAATATTTGGCTCTTTAGCTGCTAAATGCTCCACTGTGTTCAACAGCTATGTAAACCAGAGATCGGGTCTATCAGAGCTTTGTCGAAAAAAACAGCAGCCTGCAGCTGGTGAAAAATAGCTATGAGAGTGATACAAAACCGTACATTTACATCCCGGAAAAACAAAAACGCTATAAAGCACCATAAAGCAGAGAGAATCTGGCGATTCACTGTAGGTTCATCAGTACAAACCATCCCTTTCACAGTGTTTTTACAATGTCATTTGATACATATTACCATAAAAATGTTTTAAGTTTATTATAGTTGCTTTAAATCTTTTGTATTTTGAACGGCTTGCAGATAAAGGACCAACATGGATTTCTCTTGCTAGCTTAGTACTCTTGAAAGAATATCTACTTTTACTATGTGTTATGATATAAATCATAGTTTTGCCATTAATTCCACACTACCTTCATCTTTCTGCAACTGCTAACCATGATAACCCAAACACATCTGCTTCACTCACAGTGTCAATGTGTTCAGGTCTGCCGCAGCAGTAATGGAGCGGTGCTTCAGATTGCAACACACAAATCAGCTGCTGGATTTGTCTATAAACCAACAAACTTTGAAACAAAAGAGCTAAACAGTTTCTATAGCGCAGACAAAACTTTAAAAGCACACCACAGGAACTCGACAATGTAGTGCAACACAGCTGATGAGGAGATCCAGTTCAGAAAACAATCAAGCAAACGGCCAAGCTATCAATGGCAAACAAAAGGAGAGGGTGACCACCTCAGCATGGCTTTGGCCAGGTTAGAGGGAGCGACAGAATAGGAGAGCACCCAGATTGAGAGAGAGAAAGCCCGGGGTCAGCTATAATGAGCCGTGAATGTGAGCATCCGACCAATCCTGTTTAATGGGGTTCATCCCTGGAAAGGGTTCTGTCCTGCCTCATACCGGTGTTTGTGTGTGTTCAGGTTGGGGTCCAGGTCAGGGGGTTGCAAGGACTCTGTGACCCTGAAATGAGCTCTGGGAGTCGGTGGGGACCCCCACTGGCAGGACAGAGGTCCTTTTATGCTTTAATCTGCAAGCAAGGGGGATCAATATGGCAACTATTGGTGCTGGAATTGTGTGCAGGAGTAAGCAGGCCAGCCATTTTAGATGTCTCACAGGGGGTTGGCGCACCCTGACAAAAGCACAGTCCCGCTGCCACCACCAGTCACAATGACCTGTGGGACAGTGGCACACCAGCAGCTAACCTACTTAACATTCATTAGTGTCAGAGAGGTGGACAGATGCTCCGGGTCTTATGGATCTTCTCTCTCTTGTTCTCTACATGGGGCATATTCAACAGCGTTTGACGTGTCTTTCATTTGGGATATTGGCGTTGTAGGCGGTGGCGGCAGCAGGCCGATCAGCTGTGGATTTAGGAATAGCTGGGTGGGCATGGATAGACTCACCCTGTGCGTGTGGTGTGCAGAGCGGGAGCCGTCAGGCAGCCAGGTGCTCGTGCTGACGGGATGCCTGGGCCAAGCCAGAAGCTTCTGATGACGCTTCAAATCCTGATTTCTGGAAGGTCTGTTTTCCCAGTGGGGCTCTGGAGCGCCTCTTCTCTCGACAGCAGACATGTCCAATGAGCTCTAGTCCTTCAGTTTACTCCTCTTCTTGTAAGTGTGAACATTTAAACCTGAAGTCCTGAAGTGACAAGAAAAAGTTCAATAACATACTTTCACGCTCTGTAGCTGCGTGATTTAAGGGTAGAGGAATTGCACAGTCCCTCTCTGTGGGAGACTAAAAAATGTGTAAATAGCTTATGGCTGTTAATAATTACCATTCTGCTCAACTGGCGCAACTCTCTCATGCACATCCATTTCCTTTGCAAGCAAAAAATCTCGTTTTTTTTTCTCAAGACAATATTTCTTTCACAGTTTGCTACAAATTTGCAGCAGGGAAATAATAAACTTAAACTCTGTGTCCCTTCCACATGCAACACAAAAACAAGGCCTACAACAAACCAAAGCTATCAATTAAGAAGTGAACAGCACTGTAGCCCCACACAGTGACAGAGGCCAGAACAGAAATCAGGACCAGCTGGACAGCTTTTCAGCCTGACTCCAGACACAACATGGATCAGGTTCTGGGCTGCTATAGAGCTGCATAAATCTCCTGGCCATAATTACATTACAGGGCATATAGTGGAAAGCTCTGTGGAAACAATGGACCCTATCAATTCCACAAATCAGAGCTCAGTAGAGTGTGTATGTGCTGCTGTGTATGTGTTCTGAACAGCCCTTTATCTGTATCTCCAATCAGAGCTTATTATCTAGAGTGTGACTTGAGTTTGAGGTTCTCCATCTTTAGATTTATAGTGCAGCAAAACCCTAGCAAATTAGCTCTTGGTGTAATATTAACAAGGGCTGTGGACAAGTGAGGAGTAGTCAGTGTTTTCCATGGTGACCAGACCAAACATTCACAACCCATGTTCTACTTCAGCTGGGAAAATAGAAACCTTTTAAACTTAAAGATATTTGCCCACTGCAGAATCTGTTGAAGCTGCAAACAGAAAAATGCTTTGTTTAATTTCTTTAAAACTGACAAAGGAATAAAAAAGAAGAAACTTGAAAATCCTCTGACCATAATAGCACAACTTGTGGCATGTACTAAAGCTTCTTGGGACCATCTGAGATCAAGATCAACCTTTCCTTTACATCTCCCTTCCTAAAGCACTCTTAGGTATCCCTCTGTTCGACCCTATGGGGGCTCAGCAGTGCTTTTTGGGTAATCCAGATGCCACAATGCCAGTTGCTAAGACACTGCCAGAAAATGCATTGTGTGAGGGGAAGTAAGGTTGGAAATCGCAGTAGGTTTGTGGCACGGATGTGAATGCTTTTATTTATGAAGAGAAAGTTTGGATAGTCAGTACATCCTTGTTTCAATGCATGCTTTTAACATCTGGCTGAGGGACAGCAGTTGATCAATGAGCATTTTCTTCAGTTTGAAATGTTAACGTGCAATAACAAGTTTTTGGGACAGAAGAAACAAGCTGCAAACACAAAAATTTCAAGCAGACAGTTGCACGCCCAGCAGATACAGAGCAACATTAGCATATATTTGGAGTTGTGTCTGTCCAACTCATGAATATCCAGTCCAACACTCACTCTCTTTTAGCTCTGCTCTAGCTAGACTAGCTAGTCGCTAACTTAGTCTGCTATTTGGTGCTGAGTGGGTAGTATACAGTAGAGATAAGATTAAGAGATTTTTGACAGAAAACAGCTTCTTGCTACATCCGAAAAAATTAAACTTGGGCTGGAAAACCAAAATGATGATCTGAAAGATACTGTAATTGTAATTGAGATTGTCACTTCGGGCCACCCTCTCACATACAAGTGGTCATGTGATCCATTGTTAATATAAAACCATTGATTTTAGCTGCTTTAATCTTCAGTCCTTTCTGACTTCTGACTGAAAAACATCAAATAAAATCCTTTGTTTACCGCTTCAGCTATCACTGTTGATAATACAACATAAAACCATTGAAACTAAGACACTTAGCTTACAGTGGCTCATTTACAGTGAATTGTGTGTGTTTTTAAGATGAAATGAAAATGTTGTTATTTTTCAACATTTTTGCTCTGTAAGACTAAAACACCGTTATAAAATTTTCTTGGATGTCACATATTTGCAAATGCACTCTCTCCCTCTCTCTCTCTCTCTCTCTCACACACACACACAAATAAACACATACATCAGCACACACAAGCTGACAAAGCCTCTCACAAAACACATAAAAATACAATTACAAGAGCTTTCAAGCAGTTCTAAGGAAAGCAGCCCTGCCCACTGCATGCTGCCCTTTGTCGACTGCAGGACTCGGATTCAAAGAGCGTTGACCTGCGCCGGCTCTGCCCGGCAGGCCTGCGGGGAGTCCTGCTCTGACTCCAAGCCCTGGTTACCATGCCATGCTGGGATCCCCCCTTTGCTAACTCCTCTTGCCCCCCGGTTAGCTCCGTTATTTCCTCATCTCATCAATCTGTCAGCTAAGCCCTTTGACACGCAACACAATATGGTCCCAGTATTTCTCAGTTCAAGCCCTCTCTTTCAATATGGTTCCAGCATTTCAAGATTAGTCAGCTCACCCACAAGGTCTGCTTCCCTGGTGCCTCGGGACCAAGGGGGGGAGTCAGCAGCAAAAATAGTTGCTAGAACCAAAGCAATGGCAGCCTTCAGGCCTGAACAGCAGCAAGAGATGTAATGTATTCCAAATCGCTCTACATTCAAATTGTTATTATATGACAAACACTGACTAGATTGGTGTGAGAGCTTATTTTCATTCAAGTTAAAACATGACAAACACATTTTATTGCAGCTAAAATTATCCTCAAGTTGTAATTTCAGAAAACTCTGCTCACAAGTCCAACCTTATCTTACTTTGGATTTACTAGAAACAAGATCATTCATTCATTAAATCACCCTGACTCATGAGGTATCAGATTTTGGTCTCTGTGGTACCCTGCATGAGTTGTTTTTACTATGCACATATATTAATTTAATATCAAAGATGTACTGTATGTAAAGATGTAAAAGCTCTGAAACTTCTTTTAGTCCACTTCTTGTGACTTCTTGGGTCAGAAGTTATGAGAATTTTGGTTATATCACAAAAGAGATTCTCTGTGCTATGCTCACTAGTTTGAAGTGGGCAGAAAAGGTGTTGGAAAAGGGCGAAGTCAGATACTTCCACAATTTGGATTAAAATCTTTTGACAGGTAGATGGCTTATGTCGCCAGCACTGTCAGTCTGATCAGACCATGCCTACACAGTCCTGATGAAGCCCTGAACTTCAACCTGTTGCTTATTTGGTCATGAATATTTAGAGTTATAGAGAAATACCTTTTGGAAACCACATTCACATTCAGGGGCTTTAAGTACATTTTATAATGACTGGAAAGTCTGAAGATACAACAGTTTAACTTCCAGGTGACGAATCCTCACACAGCCTTCACAGTTAACCATCAGCAAAATGAATGGCGGTTCGAAGTATTTGTGAAGAAGGGTTTGATCTTCTTCACATTCCTTTCCATTCTTCTGAAAGATTTTAGTGTCAATTGATCAAAAGGTTTAGATGTGTTTTGCAAAGATTTAAATCTAGGAGCTATACATTCTAAATATTTTCCATGCTTTGTGACAAAAAGGTTGGGACATGCAGCCTTTCAAACTTTTTTTGTTGTTTTGACCTTTAAGAGTAGCATCATAAAGTGTCATGAATGAATTAGTGTACTTAACTCAATAAGCAATTTTCTTTTTATGTGACTAATTTGCTTCACTCCAGGGCAAGTGAATTGTTGTGGTTGAACTATACTAAAAAACTAACATGGAAACTTAAACACTAAGTACATTTTGATGAGTTGAGCCGGATGAGTTGCGTTTTACCTCTATGTACAGTATGCACGTAAAATATAACTACAATGTAATATACCTCTGTGTGACACTTAATATATGTCAGCTCATTAATTCTAACCAGAGTTTCCTCACATCTGCTTACTGCTCCCAGTACTTAAATGTAAATGACGAATACTGACAGAGATACATAAAGCACCAGTGTATGCATTATTTTGTTCATGTTTGATGGAAGTCAGAAAAGATACTTTAAGTAAAAACTGGCCACCTGTGAATATGGTCATACCAGTTTTATGAAGAGAAGGAAGTGAAAAAGAAGCATAGAGTGGGTTTTCCTGTTCAGAGATCTGTGCTGCTGGACTGGACTCACTCGAGGAACAGACCATTCAATTTATTTTCAAGTAAGGATGAAAGGAAGACTCCAAACTATGCATGTCGTCTATTCAACAGTGACGCTCTTTAAAGAAAGGGGGAAAAGACAGCAAAAAAGAGTTGGAAAAGGGTGGAGGGCTGGAGCGCTGCATAAATTTTACATACACAAGGCAGCAGACAAAGTGATTGTTGCTTCCCCCAAACTTTTTTTCCTCCTCCAGAAAACACTTTTCTTGCTGAATAGGCACCTATTAGTGACTCCATTATGGACACAGGGCTCTTGAATGGCTCCTCACTGTGCGTCTTTATCATAGTCAGGCAGTGAATACAGGCAGCCCCCTCCTCCCGAAGCCCAACCAAACTCCTTACAGCTTGTATTGATAGGTGCTGTTGCGCTGGTGATGATGGGTGAGGCAGAGGGGGAGGTGGGCTGCCACTCTCACCCCCTGTTGTGTGCTCCAGGTGTGGTGGGTTAAGCGTAGCGCTCTATTGTGCCGCACACTTTTTCTTTACCACTACACTAGTTCCAAAAAAAAAATGGATGCAGTGTTTTACATGCATTAGGCTGATCTCCATAATGCCATTCCACCGCCCCTGCTGCACCCCAAAACAAGTCAGGCCTCCGGCAAATCGCTGCACACCGCCTCAGAGCCCTGTATTGTTGCTGGATTATTCAGGAGTTAGCTGAAAGAAAGAGACAGGGAGAGTGGGGTGTCTGTACTTTATCTCCAGGGGAGACAGGGGCTAAAGAAGGAGCTTCTTTAGAGGAGTGAGTTACTGCGGCGAAAAGCCTGAAAACACCTGCAGCAGACAAGCGCAGGGAGGCTGAGGCAAGGAACTCCTATTGTTTGTCTTTACTTTTCTTGTGCCCCCTCCGAGGTACTGTACACTAACTTCTTCTGAATGGAGGTGCTTCTATTTATCACAAGTCCTGTCTAATAACCTGTCACAACATTATCACCTTGCTCAGTCTGCACAAACTCTGTGCTCTGTGCTGTGTTGACAGACCCATCACAATGTTGGAGGTTTCAATCAGCAATCCTGAGAAAGCAGCGTGAACAAATATCTGCGTGTGTGCGTGTGTCAGTGAAAGCATGATTCATTCAACTTTGAAGTTATGTGTGTACACGCAGTTGAAGGAGGGAGATAGCGAGAGTAAGAGAGACTTCACGATGAATATGGAAGCATTGTTCAGCCATGCTTACCTCCACAGGGAACCATCTGCTCCCTGTCAATGCATCACCTGCTCGTCTGAGCCGTCTCCAGGGCAACAAGGGGTGGGGGGGATTAGGAGAGGTTATGGCTTTGATGGGAGGGGCCGTCATTGGGGACATAGAGGAGGTTGACTGGAGGAGGGGAGGGGGGAGTGATGGGAGAGAGGTTACCGGGAGAATGTCATCCTCTGCTGGTGGAGAGTGTTAAAGCAGGAGTTACATATACTACATGTACTGTAGACACACAGCACCCACATTTGGTTTTCTCCGGCAGAGGCCACTTGTTGAACAGGTTTTTGTGTCGAAGGAATTTCGAATTTATGATACAATTGGAGCCAAAATAAAAACTGGCAGTAAAGCTGAAAAAGTCATTTAAAGGGTAATTTTACCCCAAAACACACCTTTTCCCACTGATCTCTAGTGGTATCTAGCCATGCAGATGTTTGGTTAAGTTACCCGTCTCTGAGATTTCTGCCTCTGAATGAAAATGCATCTTTGGTGCTCACTTGAAAAATGACAATTAATGACACTCAACTGCAAATCTGTCTATTCTCACAGCGTCCCCGTTACTCTGGATAATTCACAGACCTCACTGGCCTTTTTAAAGAGACTATTTCTTTGATAGGAAGTGGTTCCAGTGAAAACTGTCCTGAAGTTCCTGGATTGATTTTACATTATTTCACAGTTATTTTATAACTGCTGTGTCTCTGGAAGCAAATTTCCAAAGAGTACAATGGTGGTAATGGTGGCTTGTGCTAAAGAGTTAGGATTTTTAACAGAGTCTGCATTACAAAATGGAGGGTTGGGGTTTAAAAGAAGAAGGCTGTAGAAGAATTAGGTGAGGGGTCTAATTATACATGCTACCAAGTTGTATTATGGGATATGGAGGAACGGTGTCTTTTGGAGTTGCCCAGATATATAGATCATTCCTTTTAAATCTGTCTGTTGTGAGTCCCAAACTCTTTTGAAGTTCAATAATAAATTGCTGGGGATTCCCTGCTGGAGAAAAGAACATTGTACAAATTGGTTAACTTTACAGTGCTTTGATTGGTATTTCATAAATTGTGCTTTATACTTAAGAGAAATCTTATCAATTATTCTTATGTCTTTGTGTCTAGAATATTGTTTGTCCTTTATTCCTTTCATTTTGTTGTTCTTAGCTTATCTGTTTTGTTATTGCACTTCACATTTTCTGCCACTGGCAAAACAGTTTGTTCTCTTCACATAGATGCATTATAATTCAAAAATGATTTTTATGTTTTGTTTTCACTCTTTTTTATGTGTGGTTGAAGTGCAGGTTAAATGAGGTTTTGGCAGTCCTGGCAAACAAGCTAGGATTGTTTTAATATTTTTTATTTCACCACAAAATACCACAAAATTTGATTTTGTTCCGATACCAAGAACTTACCAGGGCAAGAATTATTTACATTATTCAATGTAGGGATGAGCAATGTGTTGTGATTTATGAGCTGAATGCATCATAAATAGGCTACTTTTCTGGCTGCATTTACATTACCATTGAATGGCTTTCCAAATAGTATGGATACCCAAAACAAGACTTATTATGGGTGATACTAAGCAATACTTAGCAATGGATAGCAATACTTCCACCGCTAATTTCAGTAATGTAAAAAGGAATATTGTACATCTTTGTGAAATTCATACACGAGAATAAGTGTGGCACCGACAATGAAGGTGAACTGCATCACAAAAAGCACACATCTACACTGAGGAAATTGCATGTCAGACTTGAATGTGATTAGCTGCTGCAGAGTGACTGAGTGACTGTGTTTGGTGTAGGCAGTCATGCAGACCATCAGGTATTGTATGACAAGCAGTATGAATGTCGGTCAATCACAGAGTTTTCATTAATGCTCCTCCAACTACGTTACACCGTGTGTTCTGCCAGTTCCAGGCGACTGGGTAAACACAGACCTGAGGACAGCTTAAAAGGCAAACACGTAGGAGTTGAGATACACCTGATGACTGAGTCCACCAGCAGCACCACTGAACAACAACACTCAGTACAGATTCACACATAACACATGATTTAGATTAAATAGTTCAGGATTGATCATTTTAACTGTTTTAATTCAGTAATGATGTGATAATGTCTGGGCAGTGGAGGTTACTTATTGTTGTGCTCCAGTACTTTAATGAATGCTGCTTAAATTCCCTTGAGCAACACATTTTCCCCCTTATTCCAGCATTAATAATTGAATGTCTATTCAAGCAGGGCTTCTGATATTATTTTCCAATATTTTGTTTTCCTAGAAGTTGCTTTTAATATATTTACAGCCCTAAATAGTGTCTGCAGATGTTCCTCTCAGGAAGCATACTTCTCCCAACAACCTCCACCAATGCTAACAAAGCTTATATCACAGATGACTGAAGACAATCAAGATGAAACTGCAAAAGCTAGTGAGACAAAATAGGATTTTAAAAAGTGAGGGGTACATGTCCCCCATCCCTAGTGGAAATAATGTTCTTGTTCTAAGGCGATAAGGTGGAAACCTACAGCCAGTCTATCATTAGACATTCATTGTTCAAGTTTGCTCTCAGTGAATATGACTGGGCTTGGAAGGTTTGGTGGTAAACTACGTTAAATGCAGGATTTTGCTCATACCTTAGAATCTGGCATGGGGAAAAGAAAACCATTCAGGAGGAGCTGTTAGCCACATTGGGAAATTCACCTGGAGCCGCCCTCCACAGACGCTGGGTGACACAGAAAAAGTCTGACTGACAGGTGAAAGTGACCACGGCTGCAGGGAGGAAACACCTTTTGTGTTTGGTCAGGGAGCTGGTGAGAGCGGTGACCCACATCCCGCTGCCGACAAGATCATCAGCCTGAGGGTAAAGAGGGAGGGCATGGATCACTCTTCTCACATCATTAACACACCCCCTGACTATCACAACTCACAACAACTATCATATCTCAAATCACTGCCTTAAAACAAAGTCAGTCTAATCTCCATCTTTACCACATGTGTAGATAAACCAAAGAGCCACTACAAAACAGTGTCCACCTGCAGGTAACACTATGCCTCTGTGTTATCTGTTGCACATTCTGTGAAGGTGATAAAACAGCTGTCAAGCCCAATAAAAGCCTTTATAGCTCGCAGTTAATGTTTATATCAAATCAGAGAATCCAAGTCATTGATAAACCCAAGATTGTTATATGTTTAAATGGTCAGAAGCAAACACTCAGTGCACAAGTATTATGCACATGTTCTCCTTCCCTGAGGGACACATCCAGCCCATATCCCTAATTGATTTCCCTCATTAAATCTACACCCTTCACAAATCAGAAGAAGAAAAAGAAAAGGAGAAGAGGGGGGAGCCAAGTAAAATGCAATAAAGCTGCAAGTCAATATCAGCAGGAAGTCCCGAGTGTGTTTGTTATTCCAGTCCACAACCGAGACTAAATCTAAAAACATGCTAGCTGCTCAGTGGTACAGGCACAGTAAACACAAAGTACAGTAGAGGTTTATGGGAATGTCACTCGTTAGCAAGTATGTAGTCATACATTTAATTGATAATGAACATTTTGGTGATGATATTAGATGAAAAGCTAAGGGATCACGTTTCACTCAAAACCACAAATGTCAAACTCATGGTAGTGCAAAAGAAATAGTCATTAAGGTACATCCTCTGGGGACCATGAATGTCTGTACATCTATCCATCCAACAGTTGTTGAGAGGTTTTAGTTTGGACCAGAATGGTGGAGTGGCAGCTAATATAGCTCAAAACAGGTGCCTCCTTCACACTGTAGCACCATTTCCCTCTTTCTTACACAAACACTAACTCAGACTCTTTCCCTGGATGAGATGCTGATCCTGGGAGAGTTCCTGTCAGGGCCACGTGTAGCAGGGGACCCGGCAAGGGAAGGGGGTGACTTTCCTGGGTGTAAAATTCAATTATCCAGCGGGTGAGCGTGTCTGAGCGTGTCTGTTGTGAGCGGTGGTCGGACGGCTGCCCGTTCCCAGCATGCGACAAGGGGGTTAAGAACCACAGAAAGGCCTCCATTATCCCGAGTGAGAACGGCCCATGTGGCTGGCTGCATGGCCTCCGCTCTCATTCACTCCCCTTTACAACAGCGCTGCCGACAGCCTCAAAGTTTCATTCTCCCACCCCACACCCCTCCTCCCCCTCGCTCCCTTGCTCTCCAACTCTCAGAAAAGAGCCTCCACAATGCTGCTGTAGGCTGGAGTGGATTCTTCAGCTCCCCTGTGGACAGTCCACATGTGGACAACATTCACAGGATGTCTGTCAACTAGTCCATTAATCAACGACATCTCATGGAAGCACAATTAGGATCCTCACAACTCTATAAAAGATTATCATCTCTAAGCACCCCTGCTACTCCTCTTGTTTTTCCTCGACTGCACTTTTTCACAACAATAATTATGAAAAAAAACAGAGTTGCATAATCATGATAAAACAAAAATGATTTTTTTAAAGAGAGGACAGCTGAAACATTGAGCTCATTCCTGGTGGTCTGGACCCATCAGACAGTAAAACTGACTTGCATCTGGCTAATCACTCGTGTGAGAATGGATCTTGAGTGTGTGAATAAGACTGAGGCCCTATGGAGAAGGCCATTGTAGACGCACACTGCACCACTTCTTGTGATAAATGACCAATTGTCTCCATCACCATTAATGACAGCAAATGACACAGTGGGGTGCCCTCCATCCACTGTACAATTTGAAGAGGACACTGAGGAACTTTGGGAGTTTTATGTGACATCACGCCCCATCTGCAGATGACTGACCAGTGGAGACAAGCAGACAACACATACAGTGGCCCATTATGAGTCCTCAGAAAAGTGGCTGCTACAGTTCGTTTGTGTGCATTTCAAGTAGGCTACCAAGGCTAGCAGGCAGTGCAAAATATATGATTCAGAATAAAGCAGTTTTATTGATATTTTGGCAACTTGGGGCAGAGAAACGAGCTGTAAAGATAAGACCGACATATTATTACCTCATAAAGTAAATATAGTGAGCATGTTAGCAAACAAATAACCTATTTACACATCCAGCAGACATGGAGCAACATTTGGAGTTGTGTTTGTGTCCACCTAGCTTGTTGCTAACTTTTTCTGTCTGTTGTTTGTTGCTGGGCAAGTAGCAGACAGTGCCTGTTTGATGCTATAAAACCAAAATAATTACATTTAGCTTTTATCCAAAGCGACTTACAATTGCTATACATGACAGAGGTCACACACCTCTGGAGCAACTAAGGATTAAGTGTATTGCTCAGGAACACAATGGTGGATGTCTCGCAGTGGGAATCAAACCAGGGTCTCCCACACCAAAGGGGAAGCATCTTATCTATGCGCCATCACCACCCCAGTGAGTTGAATGATGTTAAAATGGTTTGTAGAGCTAAAGGGAAATGCAGAGTTGGCGATAATTCTCTGTGGGTTTATCACTACAAGCGACGCATATAGTCATTTGACCCAAAATATGAATTACTGCAGCTTCAATTGTTAACTCAAGTTATAATGGAACTAAACAGCTTTCACACAGAAGAAATAAATGATGTGACATGACATAAGCACATAATAAATACCAAACAACATCTAAAAGGATGCCAGAAGTAAAACAAACCACATAAAACAAAACATGTTCATCTTCCTGACTCCTACATGACTTTTGTATGTTTGTCTATTTAAATAACTTTCTATACTGAATGATCTCACAGCGTCACCATGTTTACTGTGATTTTTGGTTTTACAGTGCAGCAACATGGCATTTTCGCCTTGTTGATTGTGAGGAGGCAGACAGGAAACACTGGGAGAGAGAGAGAGGTATGCCATGCAACAAATGTCCTTAGCTGTAACGGAATCAAGTTGCAGTTATATATGTGCTTTAACTATTCAGCTACTGCGCCGCCCCTATGTAAATCATTTGAGTATCTCAGGTGGGCATATACTAAACTTTAAAAGTTAAGTTTATAATTTACCATTGGGGTTTTCCATCCTAAAATGGCACAACAGTTTTAAATGTGCTACTCTGTGTGCTGGACTGGTGGCGTACTCTCAGCATTACCAGACCTACGCTGCCCTCATGTGGCACCTGTGGAACTCCTCAGTGTGAGGTATGATAGTGGGAGCACACTGAAATTTGTTCTTGAGTTTTTAACATGGCTTCAATATTAATATGGATGAAATAAAACATTTTATGTCTCCAAATTTCTGGTTGTTATAGTTTGGCCTTTGTTTTTCAATGCAGTGATGGTGTACTTTTACATTTTATTTGTTTAACACAAGCAGTCCAAACAGGTCCTGCAATCCCTGTATTCATAAAGCACTATTCTATATTTACAAATGTGCCTGATGCAGCTACAGATATTAAACTATTTCCAATTCTACCTGTCACTATTGCAAGCACCCTTCTCTAAACCAGAGACGCTGGAAGTCACAGTTGGGTGCTGACAGGTCACTCTATATAAGGACGGCATTCTAAAAGGTGTGCAATATTCAAGTTTTCTGTAGTAATTTGATAGGCCAGGATAACTGAGATCTAATAATTATAAACAACAATTTGAGAAGGTTTTACACATCAGCAGACAGCACCCTTTCACAACACCATCCTGTCAATGCAGCCACAGTCAACAACAGGAACCAATGCATGAGAACTGCAGTGAGATGAAGAGGGAGAGACAGTGCCTGGGCGAGAGACAGATGTGACCCACGACCAGTTCATCACAGTTTATAATAATGCAGTGCAGTGAGGATTCAGACGTTTCATAGAGGAGTCGAGTGTATAAAATGTGGATCTATCTATTTGCCTGTCACTGTCAACAGAGACTCCTGTCTGCAGTGTTGTTTATACACTTCACTGATAAACCACAGATCTGCAGAGTAACATTAGGATTCATGACCAAACAAAGGTTTTATATAATGTCAGCACTTCTGTCCATATTAACACATTCCCTCTCTCCCTCCCTCTGCCTCCCTTCCTCTTGTTCCCTTCCTCCCCCTTCTCCCTCTCACACTTTTTTCAATTGATGAATTTCATAATGCCTGGTTTTATGGGGTGCTGCTGCGCCCCTACTTTCCGTGTCCATGGTCAAAACAGAACCTAATTAAAAACATATCTGAGAAGCACCATGGCACAAGAAAGACTATCGGAGCTGGCCAGTATTGAAAACGAAACAAATATGTTGGCTTCCTCACAATACAGTTATGTATGTATGGGTTTAGTGGGCTTTTTACAGTAATTTTGATAATGAAATCCTGCACTATGCCACAATGAGTAACAAGGAGGAGTCAGGTGTGCAGTGGACATCTCCCACTACCATGGCTGTCATACGATCGGCAAGTTGTTACACTTGTCTGTTAAAAATGTACTCAGAAACTTTTTTTTGCAGTTTCTTCATGTTAGTATTTATGCCAATTTGGAATATTTATTACTGATTTTACTGCACTGGAAACACTGGACGCTCACTGTAATATGTTGATATGGTTAATGTATTTCTGTCCCATAAACCAGCTGAAGGAGCATCGTTACCTGTAAAACAAAGAACTGTCAGGACTCACGATCGTTGGCAGGAACCTTCTTGTTTTACTTCAAGAGGGCAGAGACAGGTGGTTTAGTTGGTTAGTAGGTGGTTGCAATTGGACCTGTTTTCTCTCTGCTGGTCATCCAGGCTTCTCCTAATGTAGGAAATGAAATGATGCTGAGCTTTCAATCTAAATGTTTTAACATACATTGAATAATTTTGTTTGGGTAAATTGTGTTCTTTGCTATGAAATATGATGCAATTAGAACACCCCACCTCCACCAGTCTTTAATTGGTTGACTCTGGATGCCCCAACTGAAAGCTGAATTGTTACTGACTGTGAATCTTGTAACAACCACTATTTCAAATATCCATTAAAACCTTTTTCCTCCAAGATGAACTGTTACAACAAAACCAATAAAATTGAAGAAAACATGCAAATATCAATTTTGATCTCACCATTCGAAAGTGTATGGTACACAGGCAACCCAAGAAAACCAAGCTAATGCATCAAGGAACCTGGAAAAGATGAGAAACGGGAGGAAAAACTCTGCAACCACCTTGACCATAGTGGAGTTTGGCTACACCTTGTGGTGCCAACTAGTAAATTCACAGTCCAGAGGTCTAAAGCTCACTCCTGCAGTTTCCAGAACCTTCTCAGGCAGAAATGTGAACACATAGTACACACCTGTAATGGCCCAAGCAGCTGGCACTTCAGACATAATGAATAAAGTCTGATATACAGTTTATATAAAAGTATATATGATTAAAAATGTATAACTGATAGATAGGCTATTTTAAGGATAATTGCACAGTATAAATATGAATAGTGTATAGGCCTACCATGTATAACAATGTATAATACATATAATAATAATAATCCATCCATCCATCGTCAACCTCTTGTCCTGCGTACAGGGTCGCGGGGGGCTGGAGCCAATCCCAGCTGACATCTGGCGAAAGGCGGGGTACACCCTGGACAGGTCGCCAATAATAAAAAAAATAATATTATCATTATATAGATTATTAGTGTTAAGTTTAACTTTTTGTCATTCTACACCTTCTTGTTTTGTGTGTCAATAAACAGGATCTGTTATAGGTTGGTGATTTACTCAGCAGTTATTGTAGGTTTGCATGAAAATATAGTTAAGGACAATTTCATTGTAAATTAGCTCTGATAAATAGGCTAGTTAATTATCATGGAGTGCACCTCATGAAAACTATAGCACCTGCCATGTGGTCAGTGTGTCGGCGCTTCCAATGAGGACATTTAAATCGGTCGGATTCCTTCTGCTATTTTTTCACGTTAGTATTCCTGCTAGTTTATTTATCACAATAAATAATAAATAGGCCTTTATTTACGCTCATTAACGAATGATTAAACGAAAGAGAAGTGCGTTTTACGGTTTTAGGTGACTATTACCTGTTGCCAGGTCAGAGAGTCTGCAGAAACACGAATAGACATCTTGGCAGCGGTGACAGTAAAAAAGTTTCAGCTGAGAGCCCGCATTACATAGCCCACAGGGGGGAAACCACAACCCAGCGGTGGACAACAAGAACCAGATGCATAATTGTGTTTCACAACAACCGTCCCGTGACATACCGATGCAGAAGGAGGTGTGGTGTCACGTGGTCCGCCGTTGAAACTGAGGGCTTTTATAGACTGGGGCTGCTCATACAGATTCTACCAAAGCTCGCAGTTTAGCATCAACACACACAGGTTGTTCACCTGAAGACCGAGAGGATGGACGCAGCATACAAGAAAGTCAACGGAAGTTTCAGGCCAGAGGCAGACAGAGACGACCAAGGCACAGGGGTAAATCTTATTTCTGACAATAGGCTTGTTTTGATATAAATAAGTCATTTGTATTTGACTTTGTCACCAGTTTTTTATTTCTAGGAGTAAATTCATCAACTTGTTTGTGTTATATTGTGATGATATTGTTATTTTAAGCATAAAAGCAAGCTGAAACAAGTGATTCAAATCTGTCTGTTTTTAATGCAGCAGCAGTGTCCTAGCTGGAATAGTCCAGGTTCTACAGCAGACAAAGCAGCAGAATGCAAAGTAGTCTCAGTGAATAGAGGGCAAACGAAAACAGCTGATGTTACTGAAAAAAATGTATGTGTGCTGTCATAATACTCCTAAAAAATATGACAAGGCCTTGCAAAAACAAAACTTAATTCTCACTCAATTAGAGCCTACCTATGTAAGGTAATGGGGAGGCCTGGATATAAGAAATACTTTTAAGTTATGGTTATAAAAACAAAAATGCCAAACATTACCAGGGTCCAGCTTCTCAAATATGAGGATTTCCTGCCTTTCTTTGTCTTAGGTCAAAGATAAATTAAACATCTTTGTGCTTTGGGTTATTGATTAGATGTCACCTTGGGTTCTAGGAAATGATCATTGGTAGCCTACACGATGGATATTTTATAGTCGAGACGAATAATCTGCTAAAGAATTATTATAGAAATGAATCACTGAGCCTTCTGGTTCAAAGCAGCCATGATAATCTTTAACAAAATGTTTAATTTAAACTCATCGATTCTCCCAAGTAATCTCTCTTTGAGGGTGCTCCATACTGGCTGAAATGTTAATACATATCTGGACTGTGCAGGAATTTCTGTTTGTCATTCTGTACCGCTGTGACAGACCTGCAGTGGAAATGTTCAGCATGTTCATGTTCTTTCACTCGTTTGATAACAATCCCCTCATGTGTGTAGCGAGAGGTCATGACAGCACTGCTACTGCAAAGGCCTGAGTCAAAAGGTTAAAGGTGTGAAGGCTTCTAAGCTTTAAGATCAGATGCCTTTAATGTGGAATGTCAAAGCTTTCAACTAGATTTCATGCAATCTCTCTTACATATATCCTTAAACACAGACACAGAATGAGGCCCAAACCCAAATCAAACAGCAATATAAGGATTAAAACATCTGAGATTTACATATCCTCTTGACTAAAAAAGTGGAACTGTGGTGTTTTGAAAGCTTTGTTAGAAATAAGTAGACTTCCATGCCCACTCAGCTACCAGATTTAATGACCCCTGCGGTAACAGTAGTATTAGCTGCCCCTGAGAGTCTGCTTATGTGTAATAAAAAAGGCTAATACACAGAGAAGAAAACACGACTCCACATTTCAGCCCCGTGCTGTTTCCTAAAATGTCTCCTTCTTAGATGAAGAGAAGGGGATCCATGTACCTGGAGGAGGAGACCAACAAGAAGTCAGAAGTTATCTCCTGCATCTTCTCCCTGAAAGAGGAGGTTGGCGCTTTAGCCAAGGGCCTGCGGCTCTTTGAGGTAAATTTCCATCCTGACACTTCACTTCACTCTTGATTAGGAGCAAATGTACGAGGTTGCGAGGTAATAAAGAAGTCACAAGGAAACGTGGTCTGAATTGGCCACAGGTGATACGGTCCTAACTGCGTTTGTTCGGGAGGCAGAGAGCAAACTTACAAGTTTCTCCTGCAGTTACACCAGCCAGAGGATGCAGAAATGTTAACATACCACTGGGGTGTTTAAGTCTACTTGTGCTAACCACTTCATGGTGTGGTTAAAACACATTTTTGAAGTGTTCTTGATGTGGCTAAGATTGACTAAATAGCTAACCTCAAAAAATGATCTCTATTGTTTTAAATGACAATTCTGAAATGCATTTGAGTCACGGGAACACACAAATGCACTTATTCAGTTCACTTGCTGAGAATTACTTAAGAAGATGGATTCCACTCTCATATATGTCTGTTCAGTATAAATCTACAGCCAGCAGCTGGGTAGATTAGCTTAACATAAAGACTGGAAACAGGGGGAAACAGCTAGCCTGGCTCTGTCCAAAGGAAAAATATACACCTTCAAGCACCTCTAAAGTTCACTGACCAATACATCATATCTTGTTTGTTTTATCGTGTCTGTTGGGACAGAGCCAAGTTGGCTCTTTCCAGTATTTATGCTAACTTAAAGCTAACCAACTGCTGGCCCCAGCATAATTTTGAACAGACAGATATGGGAGTGGTATAAATCTTCTCATCTAACTCTTGGCAAGAAAGCAAATAAGTGTATCTCCCTAAATGTCAAACAGCAAATGTCTGATCCAAACAGATGGACATGATAACTTGATGATGAAACTAAAGTTACTGATTAACATTAAAGAAAACAAGCTACATGAACAGGACATTTCTTTAAATCCTTAATACATAACAATATATCACAGTATTACAAGATCCAGTATTTCTACAAGAAGTAATTACAACATTTAAGTCTTACAGTTTTGGGGCAGAGGAAAGTAGGTTATGTATATAATTATCTGTAGTTTTTTTGGTATAGTTTTCATGTTCATGGCCTTTTTTGACCAAATAAAGAAGGAAACTAAATAAACTGAGCTTATCTCAGACATTTGTGTATCAGTTGTGTGCAAATATGACAGGTGGCTCTTTGATCCATCAGCCCAGCTTCTCCAGGATTTATAGAATAATGACAGAGTCAAACATTGGACTTCTTGAAAATTGAATAACTGACCCTACACTTGTTATTTACAGAGGTGGAAAGTACATTAATTTTAGTACTGTACTTTTTACTTTAAAGTTGTACTCCGCTACATTTGTAATAGTTGAAAATATTTACTTGTTTACTTCACAACATTTATTAGTTACTTTGCAGATGTGGATTTCACATACAAAATATATGATCAGCTTGTAAAGTGATACATAGCTACAGATCAAACTAAACAGTATATTAAAATTTTGTCAAATATAACTGACTACAATATTAAAAGGGCACTGCAGCAGTTTAGTGTTTCACTAAATTATAAAGTTGTGAGACTCACAAGAAACAGATTAAAACAAGAATGATCAGAATCAAAGATTCTGAGTGTTAGTCCCTAGTATGATGCTGGATCCTATGTTTCCCAGTTTGCAACTCAATAGTGTCTTTCATTAGACCCACCTTGCTTCCTAAAAGCCCACGTCTTTCAAACGCCATGCCTTGCAGGCTTTCTGTTAAAAGATGTAAGGCTCGAGTCCAAGCCACGATTACCCTGATGACATCACTATGGCATAACAAAGGTTATTTGTTTGTAAAATTTGAAAAGCTCCCTCCATACCCATAGAAGACACTATAAAAATGTTTTCACAAGCTTTGCTAATAACACACTGATAGGAACAAGAACTTCTACTTCAGATACTCCAGTACATTTTTCTGATAATACCTTTGTACTTTAATTAAGTGAATCCAGGATCTTTTTTACAAAGCGGTATTGCTAATTTGAGTTAAAGATCTGAAAAACCAAAAGAAAGTCAGCGTATCAATGTGTGTGCTGTTTTTTATTCTCACTTATTGATCAAAAAGGCCTGTGTGGTGTGTACGTGACTGTGTGAACGCAAGTAAACACTGATTGAAAGCACCTCCATTGTTTATTCATCAACATGCATGTCATCAAGGTTTAAGGTTTGAGTTTGCTCTTCTTGCATAGGGAATGTTTCCAGAACATTTTGCACGAAAAATAGTTACAACATGCAAAACATCCAAAGAGAAAAGATGCTTTAGAAGAAAGAAAAACATGTTTGGAATGCATTTTTTTCCTCCTCAACCATGTGTGGGGGGGTGGAGATGAGGACGGGTTGACATTGTGCCAAATGCTGCTCTCCAAATGCAGCAGTAAACATTACGATCCTTTTTGAACCTATGAGCTTGCATTTTCCAGATCCTCCCCCTGCTCCACCTCCCTCCACCCCTTCTTGTCCTCTTCTTTCCAGCCTTTCTATAAAACAGGCCAAAACCATCCCTAGATCCCTAAACCAGGAACACACCCCCTCTCTCCCCAGTAACATATGCGACCGCGATATAAAATATGGTAATTCCTCTAAAAACACAACTTTGAAGAGACCTCACTGCAATTCTTTCTCATTTCTGTTTTCTCACAAATAAAAAATTACTGCTTAGCAGAACCATGTGCTTATGTTTAGTCGTAGAGTCTATCACATGTTCATTTTCATCTTGTGAATGTCTTCAAAATCTCCATAGTTCATAGAAAACTGCCACACTGTTTATCCGCCTGGGACTCAAGCACATGTGACGTGTGTGTGGTTATCATGTGACGATACAGACAGAAGGGTTAATGACAGCCGCCTTACAGTGGAGGGACGGCTCAGAGGGGTACAGAAATCTGACTAAATGACCCCTGCATCCAGCTGGGTTTAGGATTTAGGGTTGGCTACGTTAAGCTTGCATTTCTCTTTGCGAACAGAAACAATTCAATATCATTGAGCCTTTTGAGCTTTTTTCAGACACATTTATGGTTAAATCATCTAATATTAAACATACCACACTTTAGAAACTTATTTGAATTTAAATGTTGTAATGCTAAAGCTTCACCCTTCTGTTCATTGTTGCTAAATGTAATGAATGTACAAAATATTACGGGGTATATTCCATATATAGTTAAGCATCTCTGGCTTGTCTTATTATTTGTATCTAGACTAGATGTCCTCCTTTGTAACTGGCATAGATTTAAAAGGGAAATCAAATG